CGCATTTCGCTCACGGTGTTTGCATTCGAAACAGCCTACACCTGCAGCTCGCTAGATCCGCGGATGTTTATCGTAACCTCGTTACCCCGAGATCGCAGTTATCGTAACCTTTGCCCGTTTCAACCCACCTAACCTGTTTTCACATTGCATTCGAACCACGAGTTTGTCGTATCTTCTCTCATCGCTTCTGTGTTTGTTGCCCGTGGACGTACACAGCCGATCACCGGCTGTCCACTTGCTTCTTTGCGCGAATTTTTTCACTCCCTCGACTGGGATTCCCCTTGTTCGATATCGAACAATAATACTTTTTAACACTGCCCACATTGAATTCGTATAAGTCGACGCTGTTTTGCGTAGATGATTGCGATACGGTTTCTCAAGAAATTTGTTTACCCTTTCCTCTGGTGTGCATCACTTATGTAAGCACTGATTACTTATAACGAAAAATTATAAGGGTGGGTTAAGGATGTGGATGAAATATAGAGTGACGCATTGAATGCTGGGAAAGAAGGGCTGAAAGAGACAAAGATAGATAGCGGAAGGTACCCGAAACGAACGTGACGAAGTGCGGGAGGGAGAGATAGGGAAAAAAGGAAGGGAAACGATAGAGTGGAGCGGGAAGGGATAACTGGAACGTGTCGCAGCAAAAAACCAAGTGGGAGAAGAGGGTTTTCGATTTATTACATTTGTGTCGGGACCACTTGACCCGTCGATAGGTCAAGGAACAAATCAGAAAGATGTCGATACGGTGATCTCTTCATAATGTACACTTTGGGCAAACATTGAAGTAAAAAGTTGAAAGGGAAAAATGCTCTTATGACAATATTAAACGTAAAAATTCTTCAGAATTAGTTTTATTAAATTGTTGTTTTTCAAGTCAAAAAAATTATACGTGACATTTTCATATTTATTATATTAGTCAAATATGAATTTTATATTCTTTTTTTAGTCTTCGTTTGATTATGGAAAATTAATTTTGAAAAATATACACTCAACTCTCTTATAACATGGTTTCGATATAATATGACACAAAAATTACGACAGTACCCCTGTAATACGATATTCTTATCACACAATTTTCGGTGACACAGCTAATAGGGAATTCCCTATAAAATTTCCCGCATTCTGAAAACGCGGTTTTGATACAACATGAAATGCAGTGGCCGTGTTATAAGAAGATCGTATTCGTTTTTGTTTTAATTTTTCTAATAATAAAGAAATCCAACATAATTTTTATTCAAATTATATCAGTTTCACGAACTGTATCATTCTTTATTTCCAACCTTAATACACACCAATCGAATGCATACAGAACGATGGTAGGCGTTTACTTTCAATAACCAAATTTAATAGTAGTCGGTAACTAATTTGTTATAGGAAACTACATTCCTATTTATCAAAACCAACGGTACTTCATTCGAGTTGGTCGAAAAGTTCGATACATTTTAACACAAGGTTATCGTTAATGATTCTCTTGCTTATGACTGTTAAAATGAAACGGAAGAAAAAAAAAGTAAAATAAATTATAGACTCTTGTATTACTTGTAAAAGTAATATTTAGTATCCATGTACGCATAGCTGCTACCTGTGTCTAGTACGCATATGTAAATAACGCTGTAAATAAAAAGCTTTTCACGTGCTTCTTGCTAGAATACTTAGTCGGTAGAATAGAATGACGGCCGCCGATAGCGGGCGGATTTCCGTCACGTTTCTTGCCTTTACAGAGGAAAAAAAGACAGGAAGACCATGCGAAAGGAGTTAAGCTCGTAACAGAGAGAACGCCTGGCCCGAAGGCGTTAAACCGGGAAACAGTATAATCGGGTCGCAGAGCGATGTACGCAGCTGCGGGTGGCGCCAGTATAGCGAACAGGAGGAAGCAAAAACGGTTGCAGCTAAACAAACGTGTCGCCGAGGGTACAATCCCATCACGGCTGAAGACAGTTCCAGCTTCACAGCACCACTACCACCAACACCAACACCAACACCACCACCACCCGAGCAAGTTTGCGCGTCCGCACGTTGTTCCACCATCTTCCACACCACAGCCACAACCACCGTCATCTGCATTCCATCAGAGCATCGATCGACGGCGTCATGTCGAGAAGTCTCCGCAGGTCGCACCTGTCTCTCCGATCCAATTCCCAATATCGCCACCGCCGCTATCCCTCGAATCACCTAGTTCAGTTACTTGCGCCACTAAATCCAATAACTTCCCTTTCCCGCCACCATCGATCCTTGATCTCAGAGTATCGCCATCTTCTTCGGAGCTACAGGTGGGTACATTATTTCGGCAATAACTTAATTGCTCTAGGATAGTCTTATGATCTTTGTCTCTCTTTCTATTTCTATCTCTCACTCTGTTTCTCTTTCTTAGCTCTCTTGTTCTTTCACTTCTTTCTCTATCACATGTTAGTCGCTCTTGCCTAGGTGACCCTATCTCATGTATCTCGTGCAGTCCTTGTAAGAGTATTTTGATAATCCTCGTTGCACTCTGCACCTTCTCTTTGCTGGCACACACACACACACACACACACACCTTTACTTATATATTAGGAACACACCATCGATTGGCTGTCTGGTGGCGTATGTAATCCCCGCGGTAACGCATCCCTGAACAGCCCCAGGTTCGTCAGCTGGTTATCCATTCATTGTAAATTTTAGTTATTAATATGTCTCTACTGGTTCCAATCAGCGCATACATGCATCGACTATTACCAAAGGCAGACAGTGCAATGTTAGGAGTAAGTTATAGTGCCTGGTATCAAGGTGGATCAGAAGATCTTTGAGGAGGAACTCGTGTGATTTTTGATTTTTTTTTCAATCGGGTCAAACAAGGGGAACAAAGAGTTGAAATTGTATCGTGTGTAAAGGAAGTGAAAAGGAAAGAGAGGAGGAGGAGGAGAAGGACGGTCGAGATCTTAACGATCAATAAAACAGGCAAATGAATGAGCGGAATGCAGGCTGCTTTATTAATTAGAAGGGAGAAGCAACGGTTACGGGGGGGTAAGGTGGTGAACTTTAGAGAATTACCCTCCAACTTCGCCACCAGACTTATTCCGCCGCTTCCACGATATCCCCCACGATCTTATGTTTACGGGGTAAGTATCAAATCATTCCAATGTCCTGTATCATCGAAGATAAGCTATTGGCATCAGTGGGTAATTGTTATACTTTCCTAGCTGATTACCTTTGCATCAAACCTTACGTGCCTCCTTTTGAAAAAAAAAAGAGATTCATAATGTAGTGTATTCTTGGTGTTTGTCCTTTTTTACTTTTATCTTATCATAACACATATTAGTGTTTTTTATGTCCTTACATATAAAAATATTTTTTGTTTTATTTTATATCTGTGATTATTAAAAAACTTGGACGCAATGGAATGTATAAAATATGCATTTTATATTTAAAAAATATTTTACATCTTCTTTTCTCTTTTATAAGGTATTTATTTTTATTCCTTAATGAAAGGTTAAGAAAAAGAAATTATTATTTGATACTAAGTTAGAAAAAAAGTGTAACAACTGATTGTGCGATTCTTCATCTGAAGAATGTTCTTTAATTCAGTATCACTGGACGATACTTTTTTAAAATAAAAATTTGTATTAATAAATGTGATGCCAAGTTGTATCACAGTATACTACAGAGTACTTTACAGAGTACTCTACGATCAAAGGTAAACAATTGTAATAAAATATATTTAATCAAATCTCTATTGCTGATTAAAATGCAATGAATACAGTGCGCTTATATAAACAAATTCTACGATACATGTACGTATAAATGTTTATACGTGTTTGGGATTGGTTACATGTATACCAATTTTTTTGTATTTTACTTAGTACATGCATGCATGTTTTTTACATTATCATTTATGTGCTGAGTAACGAGGAAGTAATAAAGAAATTAATTAATGGATAATAATATGGTGAAAGAGACTACAGAAAATGTTTAGAAATGATAGAGAAAGATGCAATTATATAATCAAAGTGTAATTCGTTTTTAAGTTTTATTACTTATTTATATTATGTATAATAGTCCAGATAGTATTTATATTAGAATAAGCCAACATTGGAAAGTTTTTTTTAACATTTATTAAATTATTTAAGAACTTCTTCAATATGAGCGTTATTAAAATTTGTGGAAGTAGATTGAAACATTATAATTAGAGTTCTTGTAAAATTAACAACAGTACCTCAATGTAGTATAATTTCAGTGTGGTGGAGGACCTGGTAAAGCAGCATGGCAAGGATGCAGCAGACCTTCTCCCCTCCCTTTGTCTCCTATGTCACCTCACGGATGCCGTGGAGATGGCTACAAGACAAAGCAATGCGAAGCTCATCGACGATGGATGAAAAGGAACAGGGTAAATGGGCATGCAACAAAATATAATTCAAAATAAAAAAAATTCTAAGTAAACTATATAATATTATTAACATACTTACATATATCATACTATTGAATACTAATTGAGATTTCCATAAATTAAGCAGATGTGCATATTCTTATTTATACCTTTGCGTAATAAAGTTATTTTTAATATGATTCATTGTAAATACTGCTGTACTAAAAATATTAATGATCTGCTTCATTCTGTTTTATTAAAGGTAAAGGACTGATTTCTTTTCTCAGATAAGAGACGCAAGCTATTGCTATGGGAGCAGTGGAGAAGATGACGAAGAAGATGGTAGCAGTAATGCAAACCGTCGTAGAGGAGAAGTTAGTGCGGCAGTGAATACCGTACTTTATGCAGGGCTGGGAACTACAGCGCTCGGATTAGTTATCTCGTTTGTCGGCACTGGAGAGAAAGGATTCCTCAGTCCGGAATTGAGGCTGGTGGGTCCTTCACTACTGTGCGCCGGTTTACTGTGTTGCCTATTTCGGGTGCTGCTCTGCCTCTGTTTATGTCGTTGTGGTCAATGCCGCTGGCGGTTTTGCCATGTCACTTCTGACAAGAAGGAGAAAGTGAGGAAAGCAGAAGCGCGTCCAGCTGGAACATTGCCTACCGCCTCACTTTTGTCACCATCGCAGCAACAACAGCCACCTCAACAATCGGCCACGTGTTCGAGTGGCCCAGCATCATCATCAACAAAAGCACATGAGCTGTTGCTCTCTCCTGCCCAACTACCAGAATGAAAACACTGTTACAAACGTTTTCTACGAAAATCAACACGCCGATTAACTGCCGGTTCATGTCTAATATAGAATTATCTAATCTCCATTCGGCCTGAACCGTTCTCGCAAAAACCATCACAGCCTAATTCTAGTTCAATGCGAATTTTAGTGCTTAAAAATAATAGAAAAATAAACAATCGGCTACGTTTTTCTACCCCTACTGTGTTTGAAAAAGTAAACAAGTAATTATCAATGAGCCTTCAACTGCCTCCTCGTTTATTTCCTTCCATGTTCAGATTTAATCTTTACAAGGATTATCTAATTTTAATTCATCTTCTTTGAATTCTTAAAATGCTCATGTTTGGTTCTCACAATATAAAGTTAACTCACTGTCAAAACTCATTTTA